GAATGTTTGCGGCGCTACAGCAAACATACATTTTGAAAAAGGGCTCCCCTCAATCCGCCGGGGTCTTGCGAACGTTTGAAACGAATGTGCGCGGCGCCCAAACTGGAACCACATGTTTAAAACGGGCCGCCCTCACTCCGCAAAGATCTTGCCAATGCTTAAAACAAATGTGCGCGGCGCTGAAGCGAGAACAACATGTTGAAAACGAATCCCTCTCAATCCGTGAATCCATTGACAAAGTGTAAGGTTCAATCTCATCACTGGTGAGGGAGTCTCCAGCGAAACGCCCGGTCCGCCTTTCCGATCGGCCTCGGGGTGCGACAGAGATGAATTATTTATAGCCAAGGGAAAGGAATTGAGGAGGAGGAGGAGGAGGGAGAGAAGGAGTGGGAGGAGGAGGAGGAGGAGGAGGAGAAGGAGGAGGAGGAGGAGGAGGAGGAGGAGGAGGAGGAGGAGGAGCAGGAAAGCTCAGTTTTTTTGATGTCTGGTCAACGTAAAAAGGAGGAGGAGGAGAAGGAGGAGGAGCAGAGATGTGGTGGAGTGCAAAGCGCGACCACCCCTGCTCGACCCGACGGTGCGGCAACTGCCATGGGAATCCCATCTCGCGATGCTCCCATCCCGCCATGCGAACCCTCTCCTATCCAGGAGCCGCCCTCCCGGATGGGGGGGGGGGCGGCGGATGTGTCTGCCCGCTCCCGATCACTGAGGGAGAGGGCGGAGACCTGCAAAGCTCCTCCCCCAAACGCCCTCGAGTCATGAAAACATGACGACGGGCGGCCGTTCGCTGTTTTAGGCCTCTGGGGGGTTCCTGCCGGGCCTCGGGACCGTGAAACAACTGCCCAGGATGAACAGATTGTCCCGGGGAATGGGTCGAGACCTTGGAGGGTCGCTGTCATGAAAAAGACATGACGTCGAGAGTCTGGGCCTCCTCCTCCTCATCCTCCGCCTCCATCATACAGCCCTGGCACTGCCAGAGGGCACGCCGCATAAGGAACGAAGCACCGTTTTTCAACATCGAGCCATACATGTCTAGGGAACGACCGATCCCCGTTCTGGAGGCGCTCCCGTGTCCGCTCCTCTCGTCTTGACATCGGTCCCTCCCCTCGCAAGGACCGCCGAGGGGGCTCCCTGGCAGACTTGCGAGCAGGCCCAGGGAACCACCGAGCCCCTTCCGAACCCGACCAAGACCCTTTTGTTCAGCGCCCTGGGCCGTGACTGCACCCCAGACGTAGGGCCCCTCAAGATCTTCCCAGAATCTGCCGCACACGCTGAACTCCCCCTCCAAGGCCTCAGGAGGGGGAGTGGGAGGAGGAGGAGGGAGAGGAGGAGGATGAGGACCAATGTAAACTCAAAGCGCGTAAACGCTGTCGCAATCGCAGACAGCCGTCTGAAACTCACGAAGCACCATCTCTGGGACTTCAACGCCGCGAATCAAATTTACTGTTGCGTCCGAGAGACGACGAAGGGCGCCTCCTCCTCCTCGTCCTCCTCCTCCTCGTCCTCCTCCTCCTCCTCCTCCTCCTTCAGACCCCAGACTTAGGGCCCTTCAAGAACTTGCAAGAATCTGCTGAACACCCTGAAATCACCTCCCACGGCCTCTGGACGTCCTCCTCCCCCCACTCCCCCTCCTTCTCCCCCCCCCCCTGCCCCTCCTGCTCGTCCTCATCCTCCTTTCCGCCAACCGCTCCTCCTCCTCCTCTTTGTCCTCTTCCTCGTCCCCGTCCTCCCGCCTTCTCCCTGCCTCTCCTCCTCCTCCTCCTCCTTCTCCTCCTTCTCCTCCTCAACATGTCTAACATCGTGCAATCAAGGGCGTCTCTGTCTTCGGCATGCTGTGAACACAAATCTGGAAGGAACGTGTCCTGTACCCCGGGGCATTCCATGGGTGGTCCATGGGACCGTTTCTTCCAACACGAGCCCGGGAGGCCGCAGCTGGCAAAGCAACGAAGGACGCCTGTCCCTCAGGACCACTCTCCCTTATGCCGATACCTGGTGCTGCAGGAGCCCAGGCGGCACATGCGCTCATGCGGCCTGCCTCGCTTACTCCTGGACCCGTCGTCGCCAGCCTTGGGCACTTGCTTACTGGCGACATCTGCGCAGGTGGCAGCCACCCAAGACGCTGCGAGGTCAAGTCTGGCTGCGCGTATGTCACCACTCCGCTGGACCTCGGTGACAAGGGCGCAGCTGGCCCCCCGCCTCCCCAGGGAGGCGCGGGAACCATTTTGCTTTCCCGTAGAGCGTGACTCCTCTGGGCCTCCCGATGTCCCACGAGAGTGGCGACAGTTGCGCTGTTGGCAACCAGGCGAGGCAAGTCGAGGCAGGAAGCGAGGAGACGAGAGGTGGGGAGGATGAGCGGGAACATCGCGTGAGCAGTGCTTCGTTCAAAACAACTACCTCGACCACACATCTCGCCCGAAACAAGAAGGTCACAAGAGCCCCTGATTCGGTCCAATGCGCAGACTACGGGAGAAGAGACTCCAAGCGGGCGCTTGCTGGGAAGACTGTCCCTCATGTGTGACGTTGACTGTGTGGAGAAAGAGGATCGCCACATAATGGCCGTGCTCACGACTGCCCTCCCATCAAGACGCGGCCTCTAAGGTCAGGATCGGACAAGAGGACCGCAAACAGCCTCCATCGGTGGCGCGCAGAGAAGGGGGGAAGCGAGATGGTGCAGGCCTTCTCAGAAGGCGGCGGGCTTCTCAGACACCCTCTGGCCTCCTGAGAAGCCGCCTCCGTCTCCGGAGGATGCTTCATGGGCAGCTTCTCAGAAGGCCGGAGGAGGAGGAGGAGGAGGAGGAGGAGGAGGAGGAGGAGGAGGAGGAGGAGGACGAGGACGAGGAGGAGGAGGAGGAGAAGGAGGAGGAGGAGGAGGAGGAGGAGGAGGAGGAGCCTTCCCCCCCGACGCGCGCCGCCGAAAGATGGTTGCAAACGACCTTCAGCACGGGCGGGAAGGCACGAAATGTGAGCCGCAGCGGCAGGGCTTCTTCGCAGCCCGGCGCCCCGGAGCCATCCTGCAGACGCGCGTGCATGGAGCATCGTGCTTCTCTGGGCGCACCTGGCCAGAGATAAAGCAAGGACTGGCCACTGACGAGCGGCTGCGCCCACGCTCCTCAAGACTAGGTGCGCCAATTGGTGGCGCCGTCATTCACCCAGTCATCGTCGCTGCAATCAGAGCGTGGGTGCCCATGGCCCATGCTGAATCCACCGGCGCACCTGCCATCGTAGATCATGGTAAATTCATCTCCTTCCGAAGCAGACTTCCCAACGCAGGGATGCGAACGGCATTCTCAAAGAAACACCCTGGCAGCCCAGCCAACTGGGTACATACAGCGCTGCCGCAACCGTACGAGACCCACTTGGCATGGATTCAACTCCATCGGGCGCCACACATCTCGGCGCGGCGGTCAAATTAATACGCGTAACTCATGTCGGATAGCACAGATACACGTGCAACACCCAGCGTGAGTTATTGTAAGCAAGAGCTTGCCCGTGGCTTTACTGGATCACTACAAGACGTGGAAGGGCCCATCCAAGATAATCTGCCCTTGCCTCGTAATGCTCAGGCGGTACTCACGCCCTGGGAGGAGAACTTTGTGCACTGCTGTGCCCTGGGCCGCACGAACTCCGTATCTCCTGGCTGCCCCCGCGCTGTGGCAACTACGCCACAGCCGCGCCCACAAGAGCCTTTCGGCCCAGGATGACGGCCCTTGCCTGCGCAGACGGTACCTCGAGGGCACAATCGAGGCCTCCTGCTCCGACTGTATCCCGAGGACGCCTGCAGGAACATGAATTGGAGCCCCCGTATCAGGATACTGCTGGCTGCCAAAGCTCGGCGGCGAGCCCGGGGGGTAAGCGAGAAGGGCGGGCCTGCTCAGACAGCTCGAAGTCCCCCGGCCTTCCGAGCAGCTGCCTGAGCCTTCCACGGAGACACTAGAAGAGGAAAAAACGTCATAAACATAAACTTTTAGTGCTCCGCGTGGATTTCTTGAATCCACGCTTGGCCCCCTCCCTGGCGCGCAGAGCGCGCCAGGGGCGGCGCCAGAGGTGTCGCCGGGGGTGCCAGAGCGGATCCAAGAAATCCGCGCAGAGCGCAAACAGTTTATGTTTGTGGCGTTTGTTTCTTCTACGAGACACCGAACACTCCTTGGTAGGCGCGAGGGCTCCTGAGAAGCCCCGACGCCTTCTGAGAAGGCCCTCTCCTTCTCGCTCAAGCTCCGTCTGGGCTCAGGCATTGCGGTTTAGGCTTAGGTCGGGCATGCCCTCCTACAGGCGGATTTTGGAGGGACAACTAAAACATCTGAAAAACGAAACATAATCGAAAAATCGTCCCCAGAGTATTCTTTAAAGATTTTTGAATCTTCCTCCTGTAGAGCGACGTGCCCGACTTGAGTTTATGCCTGCGCTTAAGGCCTCGACCGTTCGAGCGTGAGAGGCCGCGCACAATGGTGGGTCTCAGTGCCGGAGTTGCTGAAGAGCATCAGGGACTACCTACCAGACCACCCCAATCCAACCCGAAGACCAGAATTTCGAATTTCGGGGGGTGGGGGGGGGGGGGGGTACGGGTTCCATGTGTGTTTTCGCAATGTTCCCCGCCGCCCCCCCCCCCCCCACTGGAAGCGGAGGGCAGGTCGAGGCCGTCGGGTTGGGTTTGGGTGGCCTGGATGGGTGGTGAGTCAGGGCCGCAGAGCACGAGAGACCGGACTCGCCTCGAAATCCTGGTCGGAACGCACCCCCAGGAGAGGCCCGGGGAGGAGCGGCGTCGGTAACCTTCTGGCTGCCCCGACGCCGGATCCCTTCCTCCCTGCGCTCGCACTTCAGAGCGCTCCGTCTCGCCCTCCCCCTTGCCGCCGCGCTCGCCGCCGCCAAGCACCTCGCGAAGAGCGTCAGCGCCCGGCCGCGCAGCGGGTCGCCGCGCCTCGCCACGGGGGGCCCCCGGACGCCCGGCGGGCATAAGGCGGCTCTCGGGCCGCGGGCCTTCGGGAGCGCTCGCCCCCGTCTCTGCA